GTTATCTAATGAACGATGTATATATTATCCTTGAAAAGAGATCCAATAAAATTTAGAATCACTATCGTGTGCTAAAAATTGGAATAAGTTATTATTTTTAGAAAATTACAAAATGCAAAGAAAGAGATATTTATTTTTCTATTAAAAAAATGGTATTTTTGTCTAAAAGACAATGATAGCGAAACAGAAGCAGATATTGGCGATCATGTATACCATTTATGGCAAATGACATGAAGCAGAAGCACGGAAATTCGATAATGGCAAATGACATGAAACAGAGACACAGAAATTCGGACATGGAGACAATTTATGGTAAATGACATGAAACAGAAGAAATTCGATATTTGAGAACATAAAGACAATTTGTGGCAATGAACTCTTATTTTATTGGATCTTGATTGAGTGTAGCACAATAATATCATCGCCGACGACAATATGCATTGTATGCAGCATACATTAAATGATGAACAAAGAATCGATTTGTCAATGAACTAGATATTTTGAGTTCTTTGTATGATGTTAATAAAATTTAAACCTACAATGTAGATTAACTGAGTTCGTATATTACCCCAAAAATCATACAATCAGTTCTCGAAAAAAGCGAACTCAATAGGAAAATAAAAAGTCAATAGAAACAAAATAGGACGAATAAAAATATATGTATATTCTAAAATTATTAAGCTTCAAACCATATAAATAAGTGTTATAAAATAGCTACATAGAACAAATCAAATTTTTTAAAAAAAAGACATCATAAGCTAAATTGATATTGGGAAATAAAATGCCTAAAGATTTTCAAACCAAAAATTTTAGCTCTTTCATTCGAAACGAAAGTTTCAATTCGATAGAACTTGATAAAATTGACGTGCCATATCCACTGGATGGAAATCTTGTCAACTTGTTAAAAAACAATTTGAATGAACCTTCAAAGAAACCGCCGAATAGTTTTATATTATACAGAAAGGCATTTAAAGAGATTTCAAAATATCATGGATTTCGTCTTAGTGCAAGCGAAATATCTCGACAGGCATCAAAAAACTGGAAGGCCCTTGCTGATCCTGTTAAACAAGAATATAAAAAAATTGCTGAAATGCTCCGTGAAAACACTGAAAAACATGCTTTTGTGACTAAATGGAATATTGTCATGCCTTCTGATTTGCAAAGAAAAATAAATAAAAAGAAAAAGCCATCCCTGGATAATACATCAGAAAATAATGTATCAGAAAATAATGCAGCAAATTTATTGCAAGAGCCACCCATGACGACTATATTTCCATATGCCGATTTAAGTTATATCGAGTCATTCGAAGAACTTTTTACATATACATATGATTTGCCAGAAACTATGTTATTAAATCAAAATCTAATATATTCTGAACCACCTATGACGACAATTAATGCTCATGAAAACTCTATTTCCATATGCAAATTTAAGTCCTATCAATGCATTTGAAGATCTTTTTATAAATATACATGTATTAATATGTACATATGATTTGCCGAAAACCATGCTATTAAATCAAGATCTAACGTATCCTAAACTTTCTATGATACATTTTTATAAAGATTTTAATCAAAAAGCCTATCAATCATAAATTAAATACAAAGATCGATATTAATTATACATGTACATGCAATAAGATTATAACTAGTTCACTAATATATACATTGTACACGCAGTACATGTTTATATGTACATGTATAATAAAGTTGATCGATGCATAATTATTGGAAAATAACAATGTAAACTCGTAGATTTCTTTTTATTATTTTAAAGATGTTATTTTATTATATCAATTAATTATCTACGACAATAAAACAAAGTCTCAGTGTTAATTTTGAAATGGACGAATCATGTGTTAATAGATTGTTTTACAACGTTTTTATCCGATATCTTGACTTTTAATTAGTTAATACCGATTCGGATAAGCATGTCCGTGATAAAGATGAGTATATTCTTTATAAAATTTTGTAAGTTTATGAATGAAGTTGAATTATAAGTAGATTGCAAATCACGATTTTATACCAATATTCACGAGTAATTTGGATCGAATTTAGCTGTAATATTTTATGACTGTTTGTATAGAAGTTCGAGACTTCTTTATAATTCATTAAAAAATAGAAAAATTATTAACATACAATACTAGAATTTTTAGTTGGCGTTTGTGGTAGCCAAAATAGAGTTTGCGGCGGATGAGATACAATACAAGTCACTGAGGTCTTTTAATTTAGTCGGGAGAAGATGATACATATATTTGTAATTCCTACACTCAGAAGGTACTAGAAAAGCATTTTATTATTAAAAATGCATCAGTCACGAAAGAATTTCAGTGATTGCTTCTGAATGTATTTAATAAATTCACGTCAAGTAATTGCATTAATTATTATAATTTAATTAGAGCATATTACTCCAATATGAATGGAATGAATTGTACTTATACGCAATTTATTCTTTCTTCATCATCTTCTCATCATCATCATTACCCTTTAATTTCAGCATTATCCTTCAATCTCATCATCATTCCCTATATGATCACACATTAATTAGTAATATTAACGATATCCCCCATCTTACAATTTTTACTTCGTAAAATCATTTGCAATAAATTCCGTAAACACGTGTTTTGATTGATAAATGTATGTCATACCATAATGTATATCACATATCACATGTACTATTTTCCACATGCATTATATATGTACGATATGGGAATGTGTATGATGAATAAACTTTTATACTACATGTACATGTATTGTTGCCGTCGAAATTCTAGAACGATGCAAGACGATTTTATTGTATCCTTAAACAGTAATATGTTAAAATAAAACTTATATTATCTTTATAGCTACATTTATTAACTACCTTGTTACATCAACATTGATGTCACTTCGCAAAATTTCTTTACTTTCTGTAATCAACATCACACTACCTTCCCCAATAACACGAATTCCTTACAAACATTCATTGCATTCTAAGAAAATGATTATCAGTAGAAACTCTTAAACATTTGCATCGTACGTTATTCGCTTGATCCATAGACATTTATTACAGATTTCTACTAATTCACATTTATGTTGCACGTAATAATTCTTTAATAATAATACTACTTTATTTTGACGATTAACTCTCGACTATTCTTTTCGAAGCATAACCATGTCCCTTTTGTCAATATTCTTACAAAATTCATATTAAGACACGTGAATTTTTGTAGTAATTCACAATCTGTAAAATAGATAGTTAGTTAATAACCAAATTATATATAAAGGACGGCTCTCGAAAGTCCAGGAGACAAGTCAATGTGTGGGTTTGAAGAAAATTATTTTTAACTCATATGTAAGTACCTTGGCTTTTATTTCTTGTGTCTTAACAAAATCTATAGCCATATTTCTTTATGCTTAATAAAATCAGAGGTTTTATGTTTTGGCCATACAAAGTTGATGAATCGTGTTTGATTCTGTGTCCTTGATTATTGGATTATTCTATTGATATCATTATTCTTTTTATTATTGTTTTTGGAATAAACATATTTTGTAAAATTTCCATAGTTATTTTGTTATTTGAATTGATATTATATTTTAGTTATTACTTGTGTTATTTGAATTTTATCTTTTACCCTTTTGAATTCTTTACCCTTTGTGCACAACCTCCGTTTAGGTTAATAATATAGGAGACCTTTAGAACCCCAATGAAACCTACTTTACGTAAGTCATTCGGTCTAGCTTTCGACCCTGTCGTGTCAACAATTCTTTAGTCCAACTACTTCGAAATAGTGCGTGGCATTATCGTTAGATATTTTATCTATTCGCAATAACTGATAAAAATTTGTCATAAAGATTTTGAATAGAATTAATTGCGACAATTTATCATTGGGTCCACTTACAGTTGCACATATTTTGATGTGCTTTGCAAATGTCGCAGCAATTTGTTTATGCTCTTGAATTGGACATGTCAATTCGTAGATCATTTTATGTTAAAGCTGTTTGTGTTGCTTTTTTCGTGTCACTCAATGTTGAAGGTTGAAAAATTATCGTTACATGTACAGTACAATAAAATTTGTGATCAAGATGGATGGCACGATATAGGATGGATGAAATGAATTTATTGAAAAATATATTATGTACCAAGCAGCCGTCCGATTTGCTTTAAATTATTTTTGAGAAATGAAAAATATTTAATGAAATCTAAATTTGAATAAAATGTTCTAACATAAAAGAATATGCAAAATATTATTTGTATTAATCAAATCAAATGAATTGAATTTATCATCTATGGTTCAAAATGGGTGCCGGACAAAATTTCGACGGTACTAGTTTCCGACGAATAGAATCCCGGAAAAACAGAATCCCGAAAAAATAAGATTCCGAAAGAACAAAAATCCTGAAAGAATCATCCCTGAGGGCGCATCCCGAAAAGACAAAATTCTGAAGATGCACATAATTCCGTTAACCAGAAGGAGTCTGCCAGGGCGACCCCTAAAAGTTCGGTCCACGTGATATTGCTGATCGACACCGGCTCTTCCGATCCGCCATGGGATATTCATGTGCTACGTATACACTTAATATATATTAAAGCCTCTTGTCTTGGTATAGTGAATTTTCACAAACTGTCCAGATACCTTTACTGTAAAGAGTCTTGACTGTATTAATTATGCAAGGTGATGAGAGTAAGAATCTACGGGTTTGCTCAAGTAATTCTTCACAAGGTTTATCAGTCATATCCAGAATAATTTGGGTTGGTGGAGAAGTTCATTCAGTTTGCAAGGTGATGAAGAATATAACAAGAATTTGTTCAAGTAATTCTTCACAAGTTTTATCAATCATGTTAAAGCTTGCATTAATGTCATGGAAAGCATTGGTAGAGAGATTCTTTCAAGTATTTCTTCAGTATCTTCTATATTAAAGGTGAATTCTTTGAATTAACATTACTATTCTTTTTATAGGCAATGATAATTAATTATAATTTGATGAATTGTTGAAAAATAATTAAATAGAATTTCAGATAAGTACAATTAACAAATATACATATTTTTGATTATGCTTTCTGAATTTTTTAACATTAGTACTAATATTATTTTTATTTATTCTTATTATTTTCTATAGCTATAATATCTGTATTATCAGTTAATATACTCTTAGTAAACTCTGATTTTTCTTCATGATTATCTGATCCTTTTGGATATAATAAAAATATTAAGTATGACTTTTTATCTACTAATATTCAAGTCAACTACTAATTTTTTTATTATTTTTTATCTGGATTTTTTCTTTTATTAGTACTATTCTACTCTATCTCATTATTATGTGAATAAATTATCAGTTATTGGCTGACTTTTCAATATAAATTCACTTAATTATCTATTCAAATAATGACCAATTTGATTTGATATAAGTCTGGATCTCTTTTTCTGAATTTTTATTGATGATAATATTATTAGATATATTATTAATAATAGCTTTTATATTATCAAAATCAATAACTTGAACTTTTTCAACCTTAGTAAATATAATAAGTAAGATATTTATTATAGTTTTTTTACTTTTGAAATTCCTTAAAACAAGAAATAATAAAGTAATATAATATTTAAAATTATAATATAGTAGTCTTTATTATTTGCTATTAGATATAATATTAATCTGCTAGACTAAATACTTGAATAAAAAAAAGTAACTTTCAAGAAAGATAAAATAGCTACAGATTTAGCAAGCAATATCAATAAAATATAAATTATCTAGATTTATTACTTTTATATTGGTATTTTACTTTCTTTTATTCTTAATATACTTATGAATTTACTGATTTTTACTTGCAGATATAATAATTTATATTTCTTAAAATTATTTCATCTCATTATATTATCATACCAATTAGAATTTGAAATATTTACTCTTTTTATACTAATATTATTTTATTAGTAAGTATTTAAAATAGTAAATTAAGTCTTGGATGATTAAAATAATATAGATAATATCTTTTAATAATACTTCAGTAAGCTTTAATTATTATTATTTTTTTAAAAGATATAATAAATCTAACTGATTATATCTATAAATGTCATTATTCTAATAAATACCAGTTAATTCAATAAATTAATAGTAATTACAAAGAATTTTTTATATAGAATTAATAAATTTCTCTTATAATACTTTATCTAATATCTATTAATATTATAAAGTTTTCTTGAGTATCAATAGATATCAATAGATATATACTAAAATATTTCTGTATTAGCTTTAAAATTAATTTTTAATATACTAATAGATAAATAATATATATTTTTGAATTATAAACTTCTTGTATTAAATAAAAGATAAGATTAATAAAATCAAACTTATTAGTTATTTTACTGATATTATAAATTATAATATATAATTATATTATTATCATAGTAATATAAAATTCTCAAATTTTATAATCTTTTCTTGATTACACAAAATTCTATTTTTCTGTGTTTT